CTAGTCTTCCACGCAAAAATCTGAAATGTGCTAGTCTTCCACGCGATTAGTGAAATGTGCTAGTCTTCCACGCGAGAATCTGAAATGTGCTACTTTTCGACGCGAATAATGAAATGTGCTAGTCTTCGACGCGAATAATGAAATGTGCTAGTCTTCCACGGTAATTTGAGATGTGCTACTCTTCGTTGGGAGCGACGATATATACTCTGCACTTACATCAACTCGGAATATGGTATACCGCTATTTGGAGGCTGTGAGTGAGATAGTTCCTCTGCTGGTGCTGCTGGTGCATGAAACGACCCGGAAACATACTGAGAACGGTATCTAGAAAACCGTGTACGATTGTGTGTAGCAAAATGACCGCCTCTATGGCGAAAATCTGTGCGATAATTCCTCATAAATGGATTATATGAACGAAAAGGTGCAGGATTATTTAAGTCTGAAAATCGGCGAGAAAAATTAGAAACTGGCGTTACAAAACTCGTCGATGGTATTATTGGTAATGACGTAGCACTGCCAATGGGTCGCATACTTTCACATGACTCGGCAGCGTGGTGCTTTGGATAGCTTTCAAGTTCTTCGTGCTTGCTTCGCTTGCGCTTAGGTTTTTTAGCGACAGCCTTTTTAACCTTTTCCGATTTATAATCTTCAAGGTCGGCGTTTTTTGCATCTATGTTATTAATAAATATTTAGTTCTATATTTGAAACGTGGCCTAGAAGATTTAGTATATCTACCTGCTTTGGGAATTTTCAACTTCTTGTGCTCCTTTTTTTTAGTTGTAACCTTTTGTAACGAGGAATCAGACTTCTGCTCTTTTTTACGTTCCAATTCTTCCTTCCGTTTGATCGCATCTAATTCCAGTATAGCACGAACTTTCTCCGCGCATCTGTCAGTCTCTTGTTTAGAGGCAGATTTAGCACGGGGTAAAAAGTGGGATGCAGTGCATTTTACTTTTACTGCTTCTTCAGCTCCTTTGGGTTTTGTTGCTTCATTACCATGTGGAGGTGTCTTCACTTCACCCGGCTCTAAACTGCTGTCACCCTCTTCCATTAAAATATTTGCCTTGATACTGTCTTCTTTATAATTGATTACAGACATGCCTTTAATAGCACAAACTTATGTATTACATATAAACACAGCGATATTATCGTATAAAACCTGCTTTTCACATAAATATGTTATAAGTTTTCACGTTTTCATATGCTGCAAATAGTTTAATGGTTTGCGCACAGACATCCGTAAAATTTACAACATCAATGCTAATATAAATTAAAATTTTCACATTTCCGATATCATAACCAGACCGAAAACTTCAGTATATAAAATTGTACATAAGCTAAAAAAAATCGATGTCTACACCAATGAGAAGAACTTATCAAAAAGTCGATAAAAAGTATAACACAGCGCCTGCACAGTGCGTACCTTGGCGAAAATTTAGCATTGGTAAACGAACAGCCACTCTATAAAATTATTTGTATTTTTCTTATTTCTTAATAATTTTTAACCAGGGACGGAATATGATCATTATTTTTTAAATTTCAACAAAAACCAAAACCAACAATTTCGTAATCGCCGAAACCAATTTTAAATATACTCACGTATTTGTGTTCGTTTTTCCTACTGGAATTTACAATGATTTTTTATTTTACTAATTTAACCAATAAAGAATAAAGATAATAATTAATATTTGAGTATAATTTTTTCGCTCAAAGGAATTGATTTTTATTTTTTTCGATCAAAAACAATGAAAAAAAAAAATTAAAAACTCGAAAGCTATACCAGTGCGATTTCCGAGTCCAAAAACTTTCAGGTAAAAATTTCCCTTGGTTGCGTCTGTATGGCCTTTTAAATTTATAAATAATCATTATTTTCGAGTGACAAAATGAAACTCAAAAATAATTATTGTCTCTAAGCAAAAAAATAAAAAAATAATTTTATTTGTGATCGGAAAAATAAAAATCCTATAACAATTATTATCTTTGAGCAAAAAATAAAACTGAATAATAATTATTATTTCTAAGCGAAAAAATTTAAATTATAACATAATGATTGACTGATGATTTAACTAGCTTTACTCATAATGATTACCGTCCCTATTTTTAACAAGTTTTTGTTTAAAACCGCCATTAAACTAATCATATGTTTCATGAAGAATACTAATGGCGCCGTCCAACTTAGTTTAAACCACGGTCGTGCACTGAACAACTCGCCCTGAATACATGTATTTGAATAACAGACGACGCCGTTACTAATGCATCAAAGCAGTTGATGTCACAAGTAAAAAAACTCGCTACTTTTCTGTTGAGTTGATATTTCAAATTACATTTGTGTGCATTTTTTGTTCACAAAAAAATGAGCGGCACAAAACAAGGTGTGTAACAACAAATTTTTAACGTCGTCAGCACGCAAGTGGATTAACGCAATGCCGCAGAAAAGAAAAGTTTACGACATACAACAATATGACCCCTGTGAATTATTTGTCATATTTTAATGATATTGGTCGCGTTCATAAGACGTAGCTGTTTAGCTCATCTGCTATGAAACTGCTGGCAACTGTTGAACCCAACAATTACGTCTTAGGAACGGCTTGATGAATATGCTGCCAAATGAACAGCTGATAAATGTAAACAAATGAAATTGCAACAAATAGAGATAGTTGCGCTGATACTATTTAGAATTCAACGCTGAGCGGCCGCCGTGTTGAAAAAATTTTTTAATGTTACAATGAATTAAACGGTGTAAAATTATATAGCAAACATCTTAAAAACACGTATTTAGAAACGTAGTATTATTATAAAATGTTTTAGTTACTTTATCACGTCAGTAATATAAAATATAATAAATTTGTTTACAACTGCCACCTAACAAAGCGGCGTTAAATTTAATATAAGCGGCGTAAGTCTTTTCGATAAGCTGTTTATGCTAAGCCCAACACGTTGAGTTCAGGTAGCGTAAAAATTTTCCGCTGGAAAAAATGGCGGAAAGTTGCCAACTGTTGGGCTGAGCGTATCTACTCAACTGTGCGTTTCTAAGACAAATAGCCAACGGTTGGGCAACAGCTACGTCTTATAAACGCGCCCATTGTTTCACTCAGTATAAAAATATTGAATTATTTCAAGTGGTTGAAACCCATGATCCAACTACACAAGATCTAACAAGATGAAGCAAAAGAAAAAGTAATTTTCTGGCTGACGTTTGTAATTTCGGCGCCATGTTATTTTCTGTGAAGAGTAAACAAACATAAAGAAAACCGCAACCAATGTTGTGCACATGTTATGCTAACCAATTTATTATTTGTGTACGTGTTTTTGCATCCAATCACCGCGCACTTAATTTAATCACATTCGCTCAAAAAATCACTTAAAAATCACTGAAATAAACCATCGACAAAATACACATAAAGAAAGAAGCAAAACAGAAATAGCAAACTTCAAAATTACGAACGTCACACACTTTTTTCTCAATTGAAGCAAAAGAAAAAAGAAATTTTCTGGCTGACGTTTGTAATTTCGGCGCCAAGTTGTTTTCTTTGAAAAGTAAACAAAGAACATGAAGACGAAGCATAAAGAAAAAATGCAAGCAATTTTGCAGCATATGTTTGTGCTAACCAAATTATTATTTTGTACGTGTTTTTGCCACCAATCACCGCGCACTTCATTTTAATTACATTTGCACAAAACATTTATTGAAAATCGCTTAAAAATCACTGAAATAAACCACCGACAAAATACACAAAAGAAGGAAGCAAAACAGAAATAGCTAGCTACAAAATTACTAACGTCACACGCTTTTTTCTCAATTGCTATTACAAATGGCTGCTTCTCAACCGGTCATATCTGTTTTAATTGTTTCATGGTTGAAACCATTGAACCGAGCCGCACAGATTTCTGGAGCGATTTGCAACTCTCAAATTTTTATCGCATGACCCGTAGTCTTTGCGGTGTAAACTCATCCTTAGCATCCGGTTTTCAAAATGGATGTTGGCTCGTGGAATCGGTCCGTTACACTTGTATAAAACGTGTATGACGCATCTTTCATATTAAATTAGAAATAAAGGACTTTATTATCGAAATCGTGGTTAAAAAATGGAAAACGAAAGTCTTCACAGTGATTTCAATCCAAATGGTGGGCTTAAATTGCCAAACGATGTTGGATTGTATTGGATTCATTGCAATCGTTGTTATGAAATATATGTTCACAAGCGAAGGCGTATATTTTTGTTGGCTTGTTATCACACGATATGCGAAGTATGTGTAGGAGTACCTTCCGCTAACACTGTAACTGTACCAAATGAAGTTAATTGTCCTCTTTGTAAAAAAGTGCAGCGTTTTCGTGTGTTATGTAACATGATGCCATCTCATTTTAAAGAACTCTTTACTCCTGAACCATGGCGGGAACCGACAGAACGGGTTTTAACTTTTCAATCAAATCAGCGCCAAAGTTTCCTAAAAGCCATGTCCCGAAAGGTAACTAGCATTTAAAACATATTTGTAGCACATAGGAAAGCAAAGAATACAAGAATTTAAGATATAGTAATCATAGGTTCATGGCATGAACCAAAAATACAAGATCACGTAAGAACGCGACGTTGTATTTGTAACTGGTTTTGAGAAAAAAAGTTTGCGATGTGGGCTGAATACTGTTCACACTGGCTGTTAGTGTTTTCGTTGACATTTCTTACATCCTCTGATTACAGTTTCGCTACGCAAAAACTAAGCCAAAATGCTTTTCNTTTTGCGACGACTGCTAGAAAGGGGTGCTCACAGTTTGATGCTAAAAGTGTCTCAAAATGTAGACGTCTACATTTTCAGACACAATTTGGAACGAACTGTGAACACCCCAATAGTAATCATAGGTTCATGGCATGAACCAAAAATACAAGATCACGTAAGAACGCGACGCTGTATTTGTAACTGGTTTTAAGAAAAAAAGTTTGCGATGTGGGCTGAATACTGTTCACACTGGCTGTTAGTGTTTTCGTTGACGTTTCTTACATCCTCTGATTACAGTTTCGCTACGCAAAAACTAAGCCAAAATGCTTTTCCCTCATTTTCTTTTCATTAGCAACCTTTTACTTTCATTCTTTTTTTACTTACAATAAATCCGAAATGGCGTATTAAAGATGATAAAATATGACTTCCACTTCGATAAATAATCGAAAAAAACTAGTTAAGACACCGATTGGAATGAGTGGAACGTGAGTTTCCAAGTAGTTTTCAGCGAAAACTGGTTTTCGTTTGACAGATTTTACATGGACGAAAACCAGTTTTAGCAAAGAAAACATGTTTTCGATGTCGGTCAGAACATGGCATTATATATACATATGTTTGTCCCTTTTGAAGTGCCAAGAAATGAAATTGGCTATAATAATACAAAACAAACAAAACAAAATATATTCAATTAAATTGACAGCGCATACTTATAAAAGTTCAACTGAGATGAAATGCGGAGGCGCATATCAAAATTCCGACAAAGGAAATTATTAACATTTTACCATATCATAAGAAAACGAATAAAGTACTGGTCAAAATAATGGCACCACAACATTTTAGCAGTTTTGACTGTTTTTTGTTCGTTTAGTGTCTGCTAATTTTTTATAAAAGTTGTACAAAACACAAAAAACTATAAATTCATTAAAATTTTAAGCTTCTTAATTTGATTTTCTATACAAATTTGGCGTAAGCAGTTTTATAGCTTATTAAATTTGACTATGACTCAGTGTAAGCTTATAGTTGCTAAAAATTCCAATAACTACAAATTTTTTTCGCCGACTGTATTGTAATTATCTTGGAAAAAAGAATTAATGTAATGAAGAGATGTAAAGAGGGAAGTTTCGCTAAAACCAACATCGATAGCTTTCAAAAACTATCGATAGTCGCTATTACTATCGACAGTATCCCAGCTCTAGTTCATGGCGCAATAAAAAGGTGAAGTATATAATTGGAAATATTGATGTCGTAAAAACATCGATCCATCGAAAATATCGAAGTTTTGCTTCATTTTCGAATCGATGTTTAAATAGTCGATGTATCGATGTCTTTTGTGAACTAACATCTCTACCACGATGTAGAAAACAACGGTGCCGCCAAGGCGAATTTATATAAGGTGTTTCGCCGCACGGCTTCTGATATCAAATTGAAAAATTTTGTTTGAATTTCTACACACACTCTTACAGATTTTGACAGTTTATGCCGCCAAAGCAAAAACAAAATGCATTAAATTTTTGTTTTTGTACTCCTGCTATCACCTTATATTAATTCGCCTTGGGTGCCGCCGTCAGCGGTAGCGCTACTTCGGTCTTTCCGGTTGGATTAATGGGAAAAAGTGGCAACATTGCTTTTTCTCGTATACAGTTGCCAGCTGCGTTTCAGTGATCGCGGATCGAGATTTCATTTATTATTTTACATTATTTGGATAAAGAAAAGTTACGCAAAATCAACAGCGATGTGATGCTGATAGAAATTTCGATCAATTTATGATCAACTCAGTTTCTTTTGTTTCCTAATTATCTGTGGAAATTTTAATTGCCAGCACCGACAAATGAATATATACACAAACAAATTTTCGGTTATGGTTAAAACAATTCAAGTTTTTGTATTATCTTCTCCGTGAGAATTGATCGTGATAGATCCGGATCTGAATAAGCGACAGGAACTCGGCTGTTTTTCAAAAGCAGTCAATTTCGAGCTCGCGTAAATGTACATTTGCTAAATGCGATAGCATGAACGCTCTTCGAAAAAATATGTTCGAAAGTGCTAAATGTTGCATTTTAAATGCAGCAAAAACGCTGCATAAGTTGTTTGGTACAAACACAGAGCTGCATACCGTGCATTTAAATAGGTGTAGATTAAATGTATGATATGAAAATAAATTTTTGAGGTTTATCAGCAATCTTTAGTTAAATAGGCCATTTGAAATTGGGCCTAAGTGAAATTTTTGTATTTACCCAATTTAGCAACTTTTTGTAAAAGGAAATATTCTTTAAATTCAATCTTCCATGTGAACAAATATTCCCAAATATTATAAAGTAAAACAAAAACAATTTTTCCTAATTGTGATAGGGCTAATTAATGCTTATTTTCAACAAAAAAAAAATCTCTCCCGTAGAGTACCGAGTTGGAAGAAATTAAAAGGAAACGCAAATTATTGGAAATAAAATCAAAAACGAAATATGAAAAATATGAGCAGTTACAATATGAGCGCAAGCGATTGGAAAGGGAAGTACGAAAATTAAAGGAGCAGGAGCTGCAACAAAAAAGGTTTGTAAATAATATATGTATTCATAAGGAAATAAAACGACAATACCAATATTGTATTAAATTGTAGATTTAAAAATTTGCTTTGAAAGAATGTCCAAAATCATAAATGTGACCATTTATTTCAAAATACGTATGTACAAGTAAAAAAATATAACCATACAAGTTGAAAAGTTCATTCGAGAACGGAAAAAATTTTAGTAATCTTATTGAGTCGAAGAAGTATAAGTAGCAACGGCTTCGAAATTTTCTATCGAAGGCTTTAATTATTATTATTTTTAAGTATTTATGTATGTACACACTTACAGTATTCACTGCTTAACTGAACTATAAATTCTGCACTTTTTGAAGTGCAACTAAGCGGAAAATAGTATATGTAAACATTCTAGTTTGCGTGTCTTACGATGTGAATATTCGTAAAAAAAAATAATTAATATTTATTTAAAAATTTCACTGTTGCGCCCTGTGGTGGAAGTTTTAAGAAAAAGAAAAGTGCAGAAATGGATTCCTCATGCCAAATAACCCCTTATAGCATGTTTGTATGCAAACTTTAAGCGCTTCTTTACCTTTACGACACTACAGCAAATTTGCTTAGAATTACACGTTAAATCCTTCTGTGCTATACGCGCATAGTTGAACAAATCTCTCATACAAATTGACCCGCCGTAATATACATAATTCAAGAAAGCATACCTCGAAAAAAGCGGCTTTAAACCCAATAAGAAAATGGGAGGGCATTAGTTTTTCTACCAATAACTACGGTTGAACAAATAGATGAGTCGCAATATAAGCGAGCGGATGATGTGTAGCTCTGAAGCCACAAATAAAAGTAAAAAGTTTGAAAACTAACTCAAGTATGTTTTTTTGTTCTCGTTATCTCAACAGCTGTGGCACAGACTGTATTTTTATTTTTTATTCTATTTATAGTTTCGTTGGCTTTGGAGAAATGATTGCATCTTTTCGTTACTTTTTGCATTCCCAGACATTACCTTTTCCCACTGGATTGTTCTAGTGAGACACTAGTAGGGGAGGCAGCGGTAATTTCGCATACTAATAATGACTAGTGAACCCGCATGGCGTCAAAATGTCAACATTTAATTAAATTTTTTAAACAGGTGAAACCCTATTCAAAAACCTCCAAAAATATTCCTAATGATTAATCTCAACCATCTCTCAGTGATAAGAGGTCTCGCACGGTGTCGGTTTTCATTCCATCAAATTTCAAATCTCCCTGTAACTTCAAACAATAAAACCTGTGCACATCTATGTAGAACCCAAGTTCTTTAATTTGACTTGTCATTTTGGAAATTCGAAATAACGGTGCAGATGTGATGACCTTCAAAAAAAAAAAAATAGATGGCAACTCTAATTAAAAATATTATTAGCCTATAGTTTTCTTAGAACTCTTTCATTTCACACTAATATTTCGATATTTCATTAATGTATCTTTCGTATAAGTAAAACAAATTCGACTTTTCAAACAGGTGGCAACCCCTTCAAAAGTATTTTCAAGCTAAAATCTGTCGCCTGGCATTGTTATACATATTTCAATTAACTGATGAATTAAGTTGAATTTAATTTTTTAAGCACATGGCAACTCTCCTAAATAGAGTTTAGAAATAAATTATTTTCAAACCCGCTTCGATTGATATCCATCTTTTGACAATCCATTTATCTTATTAAATAATTTGAGCTTAATTTTTCCAACAAAAAAAAAAAAAACAAATGTTCAGCTTAAAGATTTCTTAACACTCGCTCTTGTGATAACCAAATTTTAAAATTTCATGTAACTTATGTATAATTAAACGAAATACCACTTTCAAAACAGGCGGCAACCCTCTTAAAAATTATTTTCGAACTAAAACTTCCTTAAATATTTTTCGTCTGACATTGTTGTAAATGTTTCATGTAACTGATGAATTAAGTGGAAATTAATTTTTTAAACACGTGGCAATCCTCCTAAATATAGTTCTTAAATAAAGGATTTTAAACCCATTTCCATTGATAACTATCGGTTAGTAATTCATTTAACTTATTAAATAATTTTAGTTTAGCCCTTTAAACAGGGGCAACCCTCAAACACATCTTGAAGCTCTCTCATTTGACATCCATCGTTAATATTATATATAAAAAATAGTTCAATTACACTTCTCAAATAGGTGGCAACCCTTTTCAAAATATTTCCCAACTACTACTTTCTTAAACCTCTTTCATACTCAAATTCTTTAGAGCTAATAAGCCTTAATAATGGGAATTCTTTTTTCTGCGTTGCCGGAGAAGAGGGCGGAAGCCCCTCTTCTACTGTGAAAGTTATACAACATTTATTGTGCATATAACTCCGGCTACGCCATCCACTGTATCTTTGCGCAGAACCCACATCGAAATTTACAAAAAGTGCATGGTCCAAACCGAATTTATTAATATACTGGAGCTCGGAGCTTTGAAACCTTTGATCTAAATTAAAGTTTAATCCTTAAACCAAACGTGTATGTTAAAGTTTTTAGATTCGGGCCATGCGTATGAACACAACAACCGAAAATCACTGTACAAATAACTAAACTGTACCCAAGTTTCTCGATAAGGTGCAACAAACATTATTTTTTGTTCGTTCATATAAAGCAGTGGATAAAAATATACGTACATACATATGTATATGCGAAAGGCTAATTTATCTGTTTAAAGGAACACCACTAATATTTCCAGCAAACACACACCGATTTACATTTTTTTGCTTAATTTTTATCTCGCTTCCGACACAGAATTGTTTTAGTACAAAATTACGCAAAAAGCTGGAAATTTTTTACTCGTTAGTTTTTAGGAATGCCATTGTTACGAATTTCGAAAGTTCGAAGTTACGACTCGGATTGCAGCATACCATTTCTACGATTCGTAACAAAATCCGAATACGAAAGTGTTGCAAATAGGGGTGTATATATTTTTTTTGTGATATTGCTTTGACCAGGGCTTGAACCCAGGCCCTGCGAAGTGGTAGCGCGCACTGCTAACTACTACACCACAGCGGCCTTCGCATATTTAACTCAATATTTGAATTTTTAAAATTTTTAAAATTATTTTGTTACGTTTCGACGCCTTGTTATCAAAACAAAGTTAATTAAAACTAATTCGTTAACACTGAAACAAAATAAATCAACGAAAAGTTGTTGTAAACCATTTTCAACTCACTTTTAACACCTAGCTCCTAGATGCATGCTACAGCTTCAACGTTTTAACTTGTGTGTATTTTTTTTAGTTGGTTCTTTATTTTTTTAAATATATATTTTTTTCAAAAAATGAAAAAAAATAATAATTTTGCGAATCCTATCGGTCTTAAATACTTTGAATTTCTAAGCATATCTTAATATATCAACTGTAGTATATCGTGAAAAGAACTACTAAATATATACATATGTTTGTAAATTTTTTTATATATCTTTCAGTAATTGCATACAATCAACACGAGCAAATACTTATGACAACAATGCAGTCTTCAATATGAACTCTTTTTCTGGAGTTAAGGGAGCAGGAACAGATAAGAATTCAACAAATCGACGATTTAGTCCTTCTCGAAATGTTTCGAACACTTCATTTACACTCCTTTTGTAGTGAACATACACAAATGAGTCATATGTATCGAAAACAAGACATTACTTTTGTTCGGCCAAGTTGAAAAGTTAATTTTTAGTTTTTTAATATTACATAAGTATGTATATGTATAGCTCGAATGTCATTCACTCATCGCTACTTTTTAATGTATATTTTGAAAATAAATTTAATAAATCCCTTTGGCGTATATATTAGGGTGCCCCCAAAAAAACTCTTCTGTCCTCTAAAATACATTTTTTTTAAACTAATTTTATTAAAAAAAACTTGATTTTTGTAGGTATTTTCCAATGGTTCCAGCTCACGTTAATCTCAAAATATAAAAGATTTTATAATTCCGATGGAAAATTAATAGCGATTTTTTGTGGAGTGTTGCACCCCAGTATACCTATGTATTTACATATACATTCTTATATATAAATCCGAGAGAAACTGTGAAATGGAGAACTTTGTCGCAAACGTTTAAGTGTTGTCGAAACCGCTTCAGCCTGCGGACCATAGATTTTCCATGAGGAAATGTATAACAATTATTTTTTAAAAGCTAGTAACTTTACATACTTGCGTTCACGCGCTTGCGCAAAGGTAATTTCTTTTCTATTGGCTTACTGGGTATGCAAGATCACACCTGGTACGGCAAAAAACCGATTACCCACAAAATGTCAAAATTCAGGCGTAGCTTTCGTTAACGTACAAATGTATGTATGTATGCGGGTATGTAAATGAGCTTAATGTATAAAACTGGTTTAAAGATGCATTTTACGTTTAAAGCAAAAAGCACAGAGATATTTATATGAGGGGATTAGAGTTAACACTAAACGCGTAGGTTCTTAAAACTTGGCAATAATAAAAAAGCTTTGCATAGTAGAAATGAGAAAATGGAAAATACCTAGTTTGTTTATATATAGCGAACAAAGCAGATCAAAGATTCGCGAAAATATTTTTGGTTACATTTAGATATAGTTTAAATATAGTAAGAAAAATCAAAACGGGTGTTTTATAGACGTAAATTTCACATAATTCTAAGATATTTGAAAATATATTTCGATATTTAACCTTGATGGATATTTGAACTCGACATACATATGTGTATTAATTTTACTATACAGTTTTTGGTTGGTGCTATTTTGAGGTTATTACGTAAGTATATGCCAGTAAAGTGAATTATTCATAAAAAAATTATGCATATCCATCCCAAAAAAAAACATGTATGTGTGTACTAACATACCCACGATTTAAGTACATAATTGCGGAGGCCGATGCATATGTGAAAAAAGATTTAATTTCCTACTTTGTCGAATCGAATTTTTTCATTTTGCGTCTGCTGGCTTTATTGAGGCAGTATAATACTAAGTAAATATGTACATACATATGTATATATGTATGTATGTGTGTAGGGGTATATACAAAAATGGGTACCTAGCCCAGAATGCTGAATGCATTAAAGTTTGTGTATTTAGTTAATTAAAAATGTACATAGGACATACATACAAATGTACACTAGGGTGATCCTGAAAAAATCAAATGAACGATTTTTTTCATTCTCACCCCTTCAATCGGTAACACACCTATGCTGTAAGGACCCAAAAAAATTAAAATATGTTTTTTCATTTAATTCCCAAAATCGGTACTACTAAAGCCGAGGATATCACATATAAATTTTAGTCCCGATTGAAGTCGGTTAAGACGTCGTCATAGCGTAATCGGAACTTTGACCCCTGTGCGACACGCCTTAACCGCGTGTCAACAAAATGCAAAACCGCGTATGTGAGGTTGCATAAATTATTTTCTAGAGAGTAAAACACTCATATATCAAACTGGTTCTCTTTTTTATAAAGCAATCGCATTTCTGGCTAGTATATTTCAGGACGAATGGATAAGGATTGAGCCAAGAGCTTGTGTGAGCAAATCAAATTTTTGGCAGCAAATGTCAGTTACGCGGTTTTGCAGAATGACGATACGCAGTTTGGTACCTTAAACGACGATATGTATGTAAAGCAGGGACCACACGTTTTGTTCATTTTGACAGTCACAGAGAGGTGCTGTCTAGAAATAATAGAGGTCTTCCCTTAAACTCGTAAAAGCCTCGTAAACCTCATGAAACTTGTTTTAATGAGATTTGGTGTAATTCTAGTTGATTTTAGAGTGTGCTCAAATAATACAACTTGTTTCAGTTACAACCCAAAGTGTGAAACGTTACGTGACATGGCGTGATGGGACATACATTTCCTATTAGATTCGTTTTAGCTATTATTTTCCAAATTTCTGTTTTTTTTTTAATTTAACATGCATTTTACGTAGAATATACTTTATATTTTGACTTATAATGTTTCAACTACATACGCAAAATATGCCAAATTGGTGCCATCTAGCGAGATAATTTTTCGAAAAAATATCTCTGCCTACATAAGCAGTATATATTGTAAAAAGCATACAAGTTTGAACATAAATACGTTAGATATATGATTTTAATTTCTTTTCTTTCGCGGTAGACCTTCGAATGGAAACGCTCATATGCAGATAAAAATGGCCGTATGTAGTATGTTATGGACTTCTAGACCGTTCGTTCGGTTATATATACATAATTATACGAAAAACTTACTGCCTAGGTGGCGCCGGAGTCGAGAAATGGATCGATTTGGTTAAAATTTAGCAGATACATACTGCACTGCAACACTGCATAAATCAATGTTTTGAATTTTGGCCAATATTAAAAAAAAATCAACAAACTTTCGTAAAGATTTCGAGCTTTTAAATTAGATTTCTTAAAAAGGTTTTTTTTAATACGCGTGTTAGGCCCATTTAATTTTGATATAAGTAATAAAGTGCAAGTTGTCGAGAAGACGAACCAGAGGTCAATGATGGCGGAGTCGATGTTCCACCGCCTGACTATACGAGGTACGAATAGCATGCATCAACTCTTATGCAGAATATGGTCAGATGAACGCATGCCGGACGACTGGAATATAAGTGTGCTCTGCCCAATCCCAATCCCAAGAAAGGTGAACCCGCCATTCGAGCTAACTACCTCTAAGCATATGTTCCAAGGTCTTATCGAGCGTATTGTGTGAAAGGCTGAAGACCTGGAAATCTACAGTAGACCCTGTATTTAAAATATGCGAAATCTTGGAAAAGACCCGTTGCAAAAGGATCGATACTCACTAGGGTGATTGATTCGATTTTTCTAAACCGGCTTGAACCGTTTTTTTTTTGGAAATATATAGGCGGTTTTTTTAAAATCTTGATTTTTCGAATAAACCGATTTTTTTATCGGTTTTTTTTTTTAATTTCATCCAAATCTTGAATAATACTTTATATTTTTTGGTCATGACTTCATACCAAGATAAGCATTTTGACTCTATATGTATATTATGTAAAGTAAAACTGGTTTATCCGGTTTTTTCTTAATTTCCAAATCGGCAACCGGTTTTATTCAATTTGCAATTTTTCGAATAACTCGAAAACCAATTTTGGAAGAGAGGCGAATAATCGAAAACCCTAATACTCACCATCTATTTGTCTATCTAAAAGGAATTGCCTATACGCCACGATGTCTGAATTTGGCATCCCCGCGAAATTTATACATGTGTAAAATGACGGGGAACAATACCACCAGCTCCGTCAGAATTTGGAAAGACCTCTCTGAGCCGTTTGCTACCAAACGCGGTGCGACTCACTTTCGTGTAATTTCTTTAATCTGATGTTGGAGAAGATAATAAGTGAAATTTCTGGCGTATGTCGATCACATCGACATCATCGATAATAAGAACCGGGAAGTCTTTTGTGCCTTTTCCAAGTTCGATAAGGAAGAAAAGCGATTGAGTGTGGTGGTCAACGAGGATAAGACGAAGGATCATTAAAAACAAACAGTCAGCACATACGCGCCTTGGCACTCGCGTCACTGTTGACAGTTTTAATTTCGAGAAAGTAGAGAAGTTCGTTAACTTGGGAACCAGCATTAACACCGATAATAATGCCAGCACGGAAATCCAACGCAGAATCACTCTTGCCAACAAGTGCTACTTTGGACTGAGTAGACAAGTCCTCTCAGAAGCATGGACAACGACAACATCCGATAAGGCGGGTCTTGAAGAGAAACGACTGGCGAGCTTTGCTGAACACGGCTTAAATCGCATAGACCGTTACAGCGCCAAATAAGAAAAAGAATAATAAAGTGCAAGTTCAAAGTAGCTACATAGGACTTACCGTTGTTTTAACATTAAAAAAAAAAAAACAAAAAAAAATTGAAAACTTGTCAACGCTCATAATTATGACACGGGGTGTTTTTCTTCCGCCATAAAGTGTGACAAATCATAATTTACGAGGGCAAATACGACCAATTGTGTACGAGCTAATGAACTTAATAAAGTTAGACAAGCTGTCTACACGAAACTGCCTTTTTAAGTACCTTTAACTTATTAGGTTACTAAAACACAAATATTGTAATCCTTCTAATAACAAAATGAAATTAACTCTTCTTTATATCACCCATTCTGTAGACAGACTTGGTACAGCAGTTCCACTGGGTGTTTGGCTTGTATTTTAATGGGCTTATTCATAAAAAATGAAATAGGTTTATAAATTGANGTTCCACTGGGTGTTTGGCTTGTATTTTAATGGGCTTATTCATAAAAAATAAGGTAGTTTCACAAAAGGTTTATAAATTGTAAAATAAATGAAAACGTCAATTTATAAAGTTTAAAACCTTATTTATTTTTTATGCATAAGGCCATAAATGTTTAACATAACTAATGTTTGATGCTACAGAAGTATTTAAAAAAAATAAAAGTAAATTTTCCTAGAAAATATAATTGCCGGTCAATTGGATCAAGGTTCACAATGAAGGTATAGATGTACCGTAGCCACTGCCATCGACATATGAGTTATGCAAATACACTAAAAATACCATGAATTCATTCTTAAATGTGCCCATGAGCAATTCATAAAGTTACAGCTAGGTAGAATTCGAATTGGTACAGCTGTATCAAGGATGTCCCAGAAGGGTTAATACTATACAGCCCTCAAATACGTTTTTTATTAGATATATGTACCAGCTTTCAATTGTAAAACCTTCTTGGTAGAATCCAAACTCAATTCTGTTAAATATGTTTTTTAATTAAATATCTATAAAATATCAAACTTTTTTCGTTTTAGTCTCTAACTCAACTTGTAAGCTTCAAATGGAGAATGTTATTTAAAGAATAGTGAATAAAAAAGATCTAACTAAACACAACCTTTGTAGCTATCAAATAAAAAGAAGACCCAACCACTTACATCATGCACGAAAGACGAGTTGAAAAGTAAGTAGTTTTAAACCAGTCTATTACTAATTAGCAGCAAACGGATTTTTAGGACCTAAAAACCTATACAAAAAAGGCAAACCAAATAGCGAAACGGCACTAAAAAGGACAACAACTGAAAAGTAATAAAAAACAAGTAAGAAAGTCTAAGTTCGGGCAGAGCCGAACATTAAATACCCGGCGCACGTATTAAATATATGTTTTTCGCCTTACCGAAAGCTACGGCTACATGGTAAGCCGGGGCGTATCAATTTTGAGTAAATTAGCGTCTTTCAATTTCGAAATATTGAAGTTTCAAGCAGTTCTGAAATTTACCGTTATATGAGAAGCGGCCGTAATTTGAGTTCGATTTCAATAAGTTTCAACGTTTTGCTTCTATGTGGCAAGCACAATAACCACACCGAGTTTGGTACAAATTGGTAGAACGGTTACTGAGATACATATATGTGATCATAAGTGGGCGGTGCCACGCCCTTTTCCAAAAATTTATCACAAACGTATTTCTTGGTAAAGAATTGTTGCAAGCATCAATTTTGAATAAATTAGCTTCAATATTTACTGATTTATCGAAGATTTTGTATTTCTCTAAATTACCGTT